CGAATGCAAATCGGGCAAATCTTCTAGTTTTACGAACATCAGATAACATATATTATAAATACTTTTACAAACATTTGCAAATTATAGATTCACGTGTGTATGTAAATACCGAAAAACGTCTCGTTCACTCTCAAATTGATTAGATTTTCAAAATGCAATTAGATAAAATTAAAATAAAATTTCGCAATAATGAAATAATTTTGATTTGTTTAAAAAGTTTATTTACCATTATATATATAATATATATAATTTAATTCACAAATAAAAAGTTTTAGATATATCAAATTATTCAATTTGCTTAAATTCTTTAAAACATTGTCACAGAAAATAATCCTTTTAATTTTGCAAACTCAGAGAAACTTCTCTTTTTACGAAAAAAAGACAGTATACATTTTGACGGTTTATTTTCGCAGGAACGAGGATTCTCTTTGTTCACGTTGCTGGTCTAGTGTCCTGGCGGCCACGCGGGGCTGGCGAAGAGCGTTGTTTTATCTACCGTTGTCCTGCATCTTAGCGTGGCGACCCAATAAACTTTGGCTATCCTACGTTGCGGGTAAGTACGACGGGGTTTATTTCCGTGAACCTCTGACAGATAGAATGTGCTTGCAGCCGGCCTGTTGGCGGTACTGTCCTTACTGCATATTGCATCGAGCGCGCTAGGACGACGAGATCCTTGCCAATCGAACACTGGTACCGACTCGGTAGGAGAGAGCCTCTTGAACTCCAGACAGGAGAATTACGATCGTTTCGAGGAAGTTCTGGTAAGTATTTCCAAGATCGGCAATCGGAAAATCCCGCAAGAAGCTCGCGAATTAATTTTCTCTTGGTTCTCTTTTTCACAAAATATTAATCTAGTATGTACACACAAACACACACACACATACACATATATATATAAATATATATATTTTTCGATTACTGCTATCCATCATTGTCTGTTTTATGAGGTGACGGAGGTTCTCGATGACGGTGTGTCAGGACCAGGACGCTGTCCCGGGGACAGCGACGGTGAGATATGACACGAACGACGGTCCTCCTGGGCTAGTGAATCTGATGAGGATAGCGAGCCTGAACAGAGGACGTGTCAAATCGCCACACTATCTTAGTCCTTGATGGATTTCGACTTGATCTCGTCATGTATCAAGAGAGGTCAATTGAGCACCCGATTCAGCTTACGGGAAGAACAAACGCGAGAAGTGCGCGAGGCCGAAATAATGCCTTCTAAAATTGTAAATTGAGGGAAGCGATTTCAAAGAAATCATCATGGGAGATTCAGAAAAGATGAGAGAGAGAGAGAGAGAGAGAGTGAGTTTTAATTTTTTGATTTACAAATCTGCGAAAGAAAAAAAAACGATGCGAGGTATCGCATCGTTTTGCGTGAAAGAATGAATGTGAGAAGGAGTGAACATTTTTTTTAGATAGACACTTGTTAGTTACATATAATTTTCGATACGTTATGTCTTTTAGAAAACAATAGATATAATTGTATAATACATAATTGCATGACGTACAAAACAATCGTAAAATTTCATTATAAAATCATTCGATATGCTATATTAAATTGTCAATATTCATATATACAATTGCTAATAAATACTTTTTAAAAGTATTCTACATAGAATTTATTTCAATAGAGAAGTCATGATGAGAAATAAAATTGTTTTACCTAAAAAAACAGGGTTCTTGCAAATTTAATACCTGCAAGAAATTACGATAAAAGGAACTTGTAAGAAAAAAAAGTACTTAAAGTGTGCTTAACTGGTTTGTTATGACATTTTTAAAATCTTACCCTTCTAATAACAGAGAAGACTTTGGTCGGTATTCATCGCAATTTTTATATAAGAAAATTCTTATGTATGAGATCGTTTTAAAAATCGATCGGTTACTAAACTGTATTAGCTTCTTAAAATATATATATTACTTAAGAAGGTCTTAAAATAAGAACCAACTATGAATACTGACTTCTATATTTTATTGCTTTTTTTTAAATAGGAACTTCGAATCACACGATAATGAAAAGATGAAAAATTATGCACTGACAAAAGGGTTAGATTGTAAAGAGAAAATTAATTACAGATAATCTAAAAATTGAATCTTAACAAAAAATGAATATATATATACGTATATATGTTCCAGATTTAAACCAGATTTAAACAATTATTTCGTTATGATATATTTCAACACACAGAAACTAAATACGATATCAGCGTCGACCATTAATATGATATATCATAATATAATATTATAGTTTTATTATAATGAGAAAAATATATAAACAATCTGAAATTTAAAATATTCAGTATACTTTCTTTTATAATACTTCAGTAGCATTTCGGTATCTACTTAATTTATTTAATGACAAGCTGTATGGCTTGTCATTAAAATACGAATAAAAAAAAGACGATGGATAAAAACTTTTCGTTCAAAACGTTTCGGAATCAAATGCTTTCCATCATGTTCATCGTTCACTTAGATCTGAAAGAACAAAATTATATTACACTTCTTCGACCACACGTTTTTTCGATATGACTTCACATACATATCATAACCAACAATAACGAAGAAAATCACATTGCGACAGTCAAATTTACATCGTCCGTTGTCAACTACTTACCGACTCATGTAAATTGTCATTACATTAATATCTATTTAATTGAAGAGGGACCGGTGGTTCCGAAATGTTTTGAAATTGAAATTGACGTTTTTAAATTAAGTTTTGTATCGTTCTTATACTATATGCTTCAACGGCTCGATTATTGACCTTAGTTTTATATTAAGGAATTGTAAAACCATCTATTTCACATTTTAATTTCTATTAAAACACATCAAGAAAGTAAGACACATTCAATTTTTCAAAGCTTTACACAGACATAAACTATTATACTTATTACCACACATCGGATGTGAATTAATAAGTTTTTCACAAGCAATAAGTTCTAAATAATTTGCAGCGTTTATTGTATTGTGAAGTCCATAAACAGAATGGGTTACGAAAAATTATTTCGCATAATGGCCTCATCTTGTTGGATATCATTGAATCTGTCAAAAAACGAAAACTTTATAAATCTATAAAAATATACACAAATTAATCTTTTCAGTTAGTAAATGGGCTGTATGTATTTTTCTTGATTTGTTTACGTTAAAAATAAATATAATAAAAAAAGATAAGGCCAGAAATATAATAGCAAGTTGTAACAGTAAAACAATAATTGAAGCGGAAGGTCGAGACTTATCTAATCAAATTAAAAAAATTTTTTATATTAACTTTAAATTATTGTTAAAATATATCATACTCCTGCAAGAAGAATGACACAAGTCGAAATGTAACATAACAATTTAGCATAAACCGAAAATAACAGTTATCGTAAAAATTTTATCTAAAAAAATCATCGATTAGAAGTTGGTATTTATTCACAGGGAAAACAATCACTGCTAAATATTCAAGAAATTGTTACAAAAATGTAATTTTCATAAAACATCAACTTTCATGTATTCTGACTACGAATAACCATTATATATAATTAAAACTATTTTCGTTGCGAATAACCATTACAGATATCGGAAATTATTTGGGTTACGAATAACTATAATATTACCGATGACACGATATATGACCAGAATTTTATTTCGGTTAACCAAAGTTTCTAAACTATAGTATATACAAACTTTGTTGGTTACCGGTAAGCAATATCGAATACGAACAAACGATTTCTAATTGCTATTGGCCGTTGTCAATTTTATACTACGAAATATAACAGACGCGCTACTACAGAGCTTTTAATATTATATATACAAATATGCATATAACACTTACTAATCGATTACACTTAACCCTCGATACACATGTCAAACGCATAATCTCCGCGATGACAGTCGCTCACGAGGGCTGTGTGTTCCAAATTTACTGCCAACACTGAAAATACTACAGTTTACGTTACGTGCACTATAGATTTTCAGTACCGACAGTCAATTTTGGTACACAGCCGAAGTGAGCGAGACAATCAAATCGAAACGACGTACGCTCACGGCACAAAGTTACGCACGCGATAAGATCGAGCTCTAGCAACTAGCAACAATAGAATAAATAATATATGTTAAAGCGGAGAGTATAGACTCTTACATAGTGCATAATGCATAAGGTATAAGAAAATCAAACAATCAACGTCCTCTATTACGTGGAAAGAAAAGAAGTAAAAAACTTTGGTTCATTTTCTTAAACATTATGCGTTATGCGTTTTGCAAGGGTATGTGCTCCCCGTTTAAATCTATGACCTTATGTTGTGGCTATCTCGTCGTTACGACGTAAATAACATGTAAAAAATTAAATTCAATGATCAAATTTAATTGGTAGATAAAAGATATTTGTCGTTTTTTGATGAACAAAATTTTTTGTTCATACATATATTTATGCATACAAAATACATGCACGTGCCTAAAGAAAAAATTCACCAAGAATAAAGAAAGTTTTGAATACCAGAGTTGTGCATCTACACGTAAATTATAATATTCTACGTTTACGTGTTACAAATATGTGGTGACACTAATGTATGATATATCGAAAAAGATACAGAGGTAGTAACATGATCTATACAAAATTTGAACAGATTTAAAACCGGTTTTGTTTAAAAAAACACTGTATTTGGTTACATAATTATATATTTGCAAATAAAGTATTGCTGAACTTATGCAAACGTAATGATGTACACAAGTCCTTTTACTATACTTTTTATATTATTATTTATTTAACCTTGCATAACTCGAAATGAGTACAGTTAAATAAAATGTTAATTAAAAAATAACAACTTATATTCTGCATAAGTGTTTTTAAATCTTTTATGGAAATCCATTTTTATTTGTAGTGCGCGGATATCCAATAAAATTTTACAAATATTGATTTTTTTCAATTAATAAAAAATTTTATTATATATTTTTTGTATACTTTTCTATTATATATAATTTTTTCTTACATAATTTATTAATCTATCATAATATAAGCATTCCTTTACCACTTGCATCATTACAATTATTTTGCATTGTGTAATATTATTTAAAAACCTGTGTAATGCTATTTTTTGCCGTTTTACAAAAAATAAGTAATCTTAAATTTAAAGCGTTCCAGTTAAAGGATCCTTAGGCGCCCATTTTGGATCCTATTTCTTAAGCCCGTCCAAAATCTTCACCAAAAGCGCGTTACCACCTAATCGTTTAATTTCAGCCCTCGCAGTCGATTCCAATTCTTCAAGTACATTTCTTGTGTATTCAAAGGAACCAAATTTCTTTAATAATTTAACGCAATAACGTTTCACTTCGATATCCTTTGTTCGTTGTCGTAAAATATCTTTATTAATCATTATTAAAGAAATATATAAATCTAATAAATTATAATAAAAATTTTCAAACCTGAAGTATATGGAGCAATTAGTAAACAAAATTTATTAATTCTATAACGAATATACTTTTTACTAAATAAAAATAACATTTGATAAAGGATACTTATTATTTGTCTATCTTCAGGATTGCTTCTAAGGGCATGAATAATCGGAAAGCTGAATTTTCCTTCAGTCAAATCTTCACAATAACTTTTATTCTCAGCGTACTGAAACAAAAATAAATGTAGGTAATATAAATTTATTTCATTAAATCGAATATATTATCGCTTACATCATCGAGGCACATGTTACAATAATCGTCGCGTATTTGAAAATATAATCCTAAAGTAGCTATTAATGACGAAAGATCTTCTTCATAAGTTGAGAACAGTTTCATTAATCTTACCGCTAAATTGAAGAGCCCACCAGTTTCTGCAAAATTAATGAATGTTTAAATCCTTTTTTAACATAAATGACTTTTTTCTATGTACATATATAAAATAGAGATTGTATAAATATTAGCAGTTACTTCTTATTATCATAGTCTTGTATTCTTCCTCAGTTGGACAGATGAAATTATCTCTCCAATAAATATCCATTCCCTGACCTCTATGCAGCTCTAATAATTGCTCCGAATATACCTGTTTTGCCTGATAATAATATATGTATATACAGGGTGTCCCATTTTAAAGAATCCATTCAAATATCTCAGAAGCACTGCGTTAAATCGAAAAATGTTTCAGACAAAAGTTTTGTGACTTCGAGGGGGACATAAGATGGTATCATTGGTTTGACCTTGGGTGGCGTTGTCAAGGTCAGGGCAAGGTCGCTTTGAATTTTTTAAATGGAGCCTCCCATTTTTCATTAGATATTCTTGTAGCTCGAGAGCTTTCCAAAACACTATAATTAAGTTCATTTTCATTAAGTACTTTTTGAGTTATAAAGTTTGAAGGTTACAGTACCGCCGGCATTAGCATTACCTAAGGTGTCAGACCGACGACTAAAATCTCTTGAATGTTGTTCAGGATCATGACCTGGATAACATTTGTCAAGATCAAGGCCATTGGAGGTTGTACCTTTTATTTTCATTTTTATGTAGAAATGAATTTTTAGTGCAAAAATGAAAATAAGAGAAACTACCTCTAATGACTATGATCTTGACAAATGTTGTCCAGGTCGTTTCAAGCCTTATAACTTGAAAAATATTTAATGAAAATGAACTTAATGATAGTGTTTTGGAAAGCTCTCGAGGTTAGCTACAAGAATATCAAATGAAAAATGGGGAGCACCGTTTAAAAAATTCATCTTATGTCTCCCTCGAAGTCACAAAACTTTTGTCTGAAACATTTTTCGATTTAACTCAGGGTTTCTGAGATATTTGAATCAATCCATTAAAATGGGACACCCTGTATATATATGTGTATAATATATACTATTATATTTTCGATTTCTAATTTATTTGTATTTAATATATATATTGAATATGTATTAACTTAAATCATTATTTGTAATGTTGTGTGTCACATATTTTTTTAGATAATCATGTTTATATGGACTTTTTTACTTGAAATAAACCCATGAATCGCTCTATTAAGTATGGCAACATACTTAACTAACACCCTGTATGTGTATTAATTTCTTATTTTCATTTTTACACTTTTAGTAATTAAAATCAATCATATGACGAATAAAAAAAGGAAAAAGAGGAACAAGTAGATAACAAAAACTGCATTGTAATAGCAATTATGGCCGTATACAGTAGTGTGTCCGATTAATACACCTAATATTCGAATAAATAAATAAAAATTGAACAAAAATACTCATTCGAATATTTCTCTTTTATTCGTCAAGAAACGAATAAATACTTTTCCATTTCATTTGAATGAATATTTTTTTAATATGATTACGAATATTTTCGTTTCGTATTCACTTTTACTATGTGTTATCTGCACATAGCTTTTAAAGCCTGCAAGTGAAAACAGAAATCTATAAAAATAATGACTACGATTACAGCGTGCGCTTAGACTGCGATCTATACGATGAACATCCTTGCTTAACCTATAGATCAAACAAAGACATTTTTAATTATGCCGAGGGGTCTCGTCCAGGTAAATAATTGTAGTAGTGCGCCTGCGCACGTCCTGCCAACAGAATTCAAAGTCTAGGGGAAAAGAAAAAAATATTTTTCCCTTTCCCGTACCGCGGCGTTTCCCTCGCCGCGCGTGCTCGGCCATCTTCATAGTTTAAAACAGGGAAGGCCCGGACGAGTCTCTTAGTATAATAACATCCGCTTCGGGGAGGTCAAGGGAGGGATTCCATCCGGACGAGACCCCTCGGCATAATTATGATCGAACTTCACTTGGTAAGTTCGTTTGATTTATAAATTATGCCTCCAGGTCTCGTCCGGATGGATAAATAATTGTAGATGTTTGAAACGTGACTCGTTCCTGTCACCGTGGGACAGATAACGGGAAAGTTATTTGACAGGAAGTCCGGGTATAACTACAGCGCTGCCTGTTAGAAGAAGACATGGCTTTTTATTAAATAAAATACGCGAACAATATGAAACTATAACTATTTATGACTATAACAATGTTTTTCTCTAAAAATGTTATGTATCTATATTCATGCTTGCGACAATAACTAATGAACTTAACACTAACCAATCTGGAAAACCGCCGGAATGGCGTGGCGTATCAAATTAGGCTTTTTCTTGGTCTACGTGTAACACCGCCTTAGCGAACGCATCTATATCTATAATCTGTCTATTATAAAAGTTTGCGAAAACACGAGATTCGCCGGACCATCCCGCCGCACGCTTAATAAGATCTACAGGAACACCTTTTCGCGCCGCGAGAGATGTTGAGGCGTGCCACGTACTGTGTGTGGAAAAAGCATCACTAACTCCGCAATCCGATAAGGTAGATCTAATCCAGCGACTGATCGTCTGGGATCCCACTGCTGTGTGTGGACGTTTGAGTGCGATAAACAGAATCACAGGCTGAAGGGCGAATATCTCGAGTCCGCGAAATATAATCAGATAGCAATGTGACGATGCATAGATTTCTGTGCCCCTCCAAGCAGGGAAAAGATAACAGTGGCTGAGATCGACCTGAAGCTGAGGTTTTTAGATGATCTGGGATACAGATGAAAGCCCTCTCCGCGGAGATCAAAACCTGCGAGACACAAATCGCCGCTAGGGTATGGCAACGTTGGCCCGATGCCAGCGCCAGTAACAAGACTAACTTTTTTGTGAGAGTTTCTAAAGACAAAGATTCGTGAGGAAAGAGAGCGGCTAGTTTCGCCACTATTGGAGAGGGGTCCCAGATGTAATCGTAGCGCGACCGAGATGGCTTCAATACGCTTACGCCTTTACAGAAACGTCTAACGAGAGGTTCACAACAACGCCGATCGCGTTGGTTGAAATAAGCAAGATCGCCGACCTGGCGACGTTAAGCGCAGAATAAGAACCTACTGTTTGCAATAGGTCTGACAGAAAATAAAGGACGTCTTCAGTTTTCGGTGCAAACAGTGAGCAGTGATGAAGATGAACGTAATTCCACCAGAAACGCAGAGGACTTGAGTATTGACTGATAGTAGATGGTGCAAGAGATGCTATGATGATGTCGATGGCGGGCTGAGGGACGCCTCTGGTTTGGAAAGCTTG